ACACACACACACACACACACACACACACACACACACACACACACACACACACACACGCACACACACAAGTACACACACACATACACATATCAACTTTACCTATGCCACAAGGAACACATGCAGGCCTCTTTCGAGTGGCGAAGAAGATATCTTCATCATGATGCGGCGGGAAGTAGTACGGATTTGCCATGATATGTGGCCCGCAAGCTGGAACAACCAACCACAATCCCACAAAAGGCCTGAGCAAAAGAAAGAATGAGCTCTGGGTTTTTGCTTTTCGTTCCCCTTTTCCTTCTTTTTTTTTGAAAACGAGCCTCTTAGCTCAACATCAGTGAGCGCACACAATCACACCACATGCATGTATGAGAACACACGACATTCACACTGGAGGCCAGAGAGATGAAGACCATGTAGCGCAGCTCAGAATTCCAACAAATTATCATATAAACAATTAAGAGTTTCGGTCACAGGCACTCAACAGCGCAACCCCAAGTATCCAGAATCTCCACTCAGGTATGTAACTTTCCCGAAGCTCTTCTCCCTTCTTCCCTTCTTGATCTTCTCTCTGTCTTCTACCTCCCCTAAATCTTTGACTTGGACCAAAAATTCTGACCCTGCCTATGTCTGTGTGGATTTTTTGGACCCAGTTCATCGCACTCATGCCGTCCAAATTTCGATTTCCATCCCGGAAATAGCATTCTTCTAAGTATAAATTCTACTTTTGCTCTTTGTCTCCGATCATAACCTGCAATTATGTCTGCAGAAGTTGGTAAAGATTCTTTCTTGCTAAACCATCTGGCTTCGGACTCAAGTTGGTTGCTGAACTTTACCTTATACTGCTTCTGAGGTCTTACTCTTCTCTGCCTGCGGAGAAAAAAACATGCTCCAAGATTTTTCCACAGAAAAACTCATGCTCCAAAATTTTTCCACAGAAAAACCCATGCTCCAAGATTTTTCCACAGAAAAACCCATGCTCCGAAAATTTTCCGACACGATACCCTCTGTCCATTGAAGGTGGGAACATAGACAGATGACTTGGGAAGTCATCTCCCAAAGTGTAGGGTAGTCCTTTAGATGTGTGGAAGATGGGATAAGTCCTGACAAGTGGGGGTATGTCAATGAGATAGGACGGTCCATCCTGATCCCCGATCACCTTGAGAACCTCCCATAGCACATAGTAGACTGATAGCGACTTTTGTGGGAGTCCTTCTTTGAGAGAGACTAAATCTCCTTCTATGAATCTTGAGGGTCTTCTATGTTATTAACTTATTAGCTTATTCCATCATTTTAGTTTGATCCTTCCTTATGCTCTCCTGGACTTCCATTTTATCTTCCTCAAACAAAACACCATTTTTTTCCGGGTCCTTGGGGGTAACCTTTGCACCTGGTCTCTTGTGAGAGAATCTATAGGTTTTCTAGGTTGTGATCCTTTCTGCAGTGCGTTAGGCGTTCGCCCGGTTACTGTATGAACCAAGTTGTTATACATATACCAATTAAATCTGGTTAGGACGGACGTACATACATGCGTAGAAGTTGTTGGCACAATCTGTTCGTTTGCCAGTGTTGTCCTGTAAATCGCACATTACTGTCTCTATTTGCATATTTAGAAAATCTATCAACAATGAGTCAATGACCATGACTTTGAGATCCATGAAGTCTATGGAGATAGACTTGCCTGGTCCGTTAGGAATAGGAAGTGGTCTAAGCTATCCCAAAGGTTCTCATGGGAAGGCTTATTTATTTCTCTGACAGACAAAACAGGTTAAAACATAAGTAACCACATCTTCTTCCATTACTTGCCACATGGACCATTGCAAAGCATTAGCATAGGTCTTCCTCCAGCCAAAGTGTCCTTCTGAGTCGTGGCATTTGCCTAGAATCATACTTTTAATAAGTGCATTTTAGTTAAAATTTAAAATATTTTGCTCCCGTGATGAAACTGAGCTTCGAAGGGTGTTGTGATTTGATCATCCCCCAATGAGTGAACTGACCATGTTGTGGTTCCATCATCCTCCAATGAACATATGCTAATCTGGTCGTATAGAGCATGTAAGATGAAAGTACGGCGTCCCGTACCTCTAAAGGTACGACGTCCGTGATACATCCAGAATCTGGCCCAAATCACTGGGGAAAAAAAACTCAATTCGTCACGCCAGCAAAATATTTCAATTTTAACTAAAAAATGCTGTTGAATTGATTTATCATTCAGGATGCAGATTCTATCTTCTCCTTCGTTACTGAGGAATAGTATGCCATCAGTCATTCCATGGTCTGGGAAGCGCACAGATCACTTTTTTGGGAGTGTCCGAATCCGGCATAGCCATTGGTTTTTCGGGCCACCGCATTATGGTCCGCATGGACCAATCACCCTTCACCTCCCATCCACAGAGCCAGGGCGATCAGTATCCCGGGGTACTAGGTACCACTTCAGCTTAGCGGGCTGTGTGAAGTAGGATATAATGCAATTCCTCTTCCTAATCATCACCTTTGTGAGAGAGAATAGTGTCAAGACTTGTCCCCCCCTTTGTACTTCTCTTTCTTTTTTTCTTTTTTTTTCTTTTTTTTCTTTTTCGGACCATTTCTCGATTTATGCGTGTCATCCTTGCGCAGGGGCCTTGCTAATCTTCATTCTCTGTATCGTTCCAATTTTAACGGATGTCCCGAAGGACGTTTCTCTTCTCTTTCTTTCTAGTTTTGCCCTTTTGCATGCTCCCATCTTAGACAGAAACCCAAAGAGGACACTTTCTACATTCTTTCTTTGGGGATAGGAAAAGGCAGCAGCACATTGCCAAAGTCATGAACTTTTACTCACCATCAATGTTGACTAGAAGAGAGAAAGTTGAATTGCAAAATTCGCCATTCAAGATTTCCTTGTGCACAACAGCCATGTAGTGCCGCCCACTCTCTGGGTTCCTGCGAACTGCAACATGCACTCATTAGACACAAGCAGTAGACATGGTAATATGACAGAGAACAAAAACCACATGCCACTTCCCTAACAAATAAGAATGGGTTCGGGCAGAATGTACAATGATGCTCTCTCTCCCTCTCTCTCTCTCTCTCTCTCTCTCTCTCTCTCTCTCTCTCTCTCTCTCTCTCTCTCTCTCTCTCTCTCTCCATACAGGGCCCATTCTTGACATTTCCGTCCCCTTCCCCTTTTGTGCAGGTGGGCATGGTGTGACCGCAGATGACATTGCCGTGTGTTCATCCTTCATCCATGCCTCCCTCCTTCCTCCACCTTTGAAGAGTATATTGCAGCTCTCCTCTACCCTCCCCATTTTCCCCCTCCTGCATCTGGAACATTTTGAGACACCCTGCAACACTTCCCTTCCCCTCTCCCTCATCCAGTCCTCCCCCCACCTCCCCACTCTGCGTGCAAAGCATTTTGCAACACCCATTAACGATGATGCCCACACCTGCCAACATCATGTAAATCTTTTTGCAACTCCGTCAACACTCCTCTCCCCTATCATTTATATATATTATATAATTTTCCATGACCCTCATCAGCACTCTCTCTCCTCCGACATGTGTGTAAATCACTGTGCAATACTCATCGGCACTCGGACTTCCCTGTCGTGCCCCCCAATGTCCATGTAAAACATCTTCCGATCCTCGTCAACATTTGTGCTAACCATTCACCTGTAAAGAAAAGCTTGTTGCCGCCACCCCTGCGAATGCCCACCCCTGCTCCCCTCAGTGCCTCCTTGACACCCCCTTTCTCCAAAATGAGTGTGTACAGCATGTTCTGACCACTCCCACACCCCCATCAATGCTCCCAAACCCTTATCATATTCCAAAACCCCTATCAATGCTTCCAAAACCCTATCAATACCCCCAACCCCTAGCAATGCTCTTAAACCCCTTCAGTGATCCCAAACAACTGTCCACCCTCCCACTCTGTGTGTGTCTGGAGGATTCAAGTATCTCCTGTGGCATTACCACTACCCCTATTAATGTTTCCAAACCCCTATCAATGCTCCCAAACCCCTATCAATACCCCCAACCCCTATCAATGCTCCCAAACCCCTATTAATTTTTCCAAACCCCTATTAATGCTCCCAAACCCCTATTAATGCTCCCAAATCTCTATCAATGTTCCCACACTCCTTCAGTGATCGCAAACCGCTGTCCACGCTCCCACCTTTCCCAACGCATGTGTGAAGCATCCCACCATCTTGTGATCCTCATTGACACTCCTGCTCTCACCAACGTCCACGTAGAGAATCTCAAGTCCCCTACCACTTCCCTGCAACATGTGCACGAAGTTGCAAACCATCTTGTGACCAACATCAATATTGTTCTTCCTTCCAGTGTGTGTGTGAAGCATCTTGAGACACCCATGGACATTCCCATCCCCCCCAACATTCATGTAAAGCATCTTGCAACCCCCGTCAAGGCTACCCTCTTCCCCCCAAAGATAGTGATTTGAATGTTCTGGTGGGCGCTTTTCCACCATGAACATAGACCTAACAACTTAATAAGTCTGGTCCAGTACACCCGGCCCTGGAGGCGCCTTACTGCGCACCACGCTTTTCCGAACCCCCCAGAGGCGCCCTTTCATTCTTTTTTAACTGGCACTACGAGCCTTTGTGGTCCGGTAGGCCGAGCCTCATAAATTTTTGGTAGGCTACGAGTTGTATTTTCAGCAAGGCTGCAGCCGTGTACTGGCGGTTTCAGGGCTTCATTGCCCTACAAGGCAAAAATTGAATCCAGTGCCTTTGCGACTATAATGCCATATTTGAAGTTTGAATTCTTCCCCCGTCTTTTTTTTGTTTTCTTCTTTCCTTCCCCAGTTTGAGGGGGATCGGGCTTACCAAAAGAATAATATATTTCTGGGGTCTTGTCGGTCATTGAAAGGTCACCAGCGGTAGGCCCATTGATTTGGTACATTGCACCATCAAACCCTTTGAACGTTGGGAGTGTGCCTTGCCTGGCTTGAAAACTCAACTATCAGAATATCACATGAGCAGACAGAGGGGGAGCATACAACACCGTGACAGCAGAAAGGCCAAATCTCAGCAACAATTTTTCAATTTTTTTAACGGACAATATCCACAAAGATTATTGTATCCGTAAGGATTTGAATACTGAACTCGTAATCCATTTCTCCACAGTGATGTTCTTATAAATGACTACCATACAGCCACCAGGGAGGTACAATCTCACCACAGTTTAGTCTAATTCAAAATTCACTCGCTAATTTCTCTCAAGAGTCAAAACTGATAATCCATTGCTGTTTTCCATTACTTTGTTGAAGCTCAGTGTTCACTGAATTATGCATTCACCATTTCAGAAGTGCATTGATCCTTTCGGATCATCGAACGTGGCAAAGCAGCACTGCCCTTCCCTTTTCGTTAATTAAACCTTCTAGGCTTCACTATTCATAACTCATCCATCATTTTCAAAGTCTGCTTATCTGGTCGGCCTTCCTAATGTAGCAGAGCAGACACTCATTCAGTCACTCGCTCCGTCAATCAATCAATCTGTCTGTCTGTCTGTCTGTGTCTGTCTTTGTCTGTGTCTGTCTGTCTGTCTGTCTGTCTGTCTGTCTGTCTGTCTCTGTCTCTCTCTCTCTCTCTCTCTCTCTCTCTCTCTCTCTCTCTCTCTCTCTCTCTCTCTCTCTCTCTCTCTCTCTCTCTCTCTCTC